GACCAAGAACCCTGACATTGCTAGAGGAGAAAGTAGGGAATATGCTCACATATGCAGGCATAGGTAAGGATACTCCATAAGACTCTGAAAGCACAAAAACTAGGACCAGCAATCGACATATGGGGGTCTTGTGAAACAAAAATGCTTCTCGATAGCAGAGAAAACTGTTAATTGAGTGAAAAGGCTGCCAACAGGATGGGAATAAATATTTGCCAGCTATACATCTGATAGACAGTAACTAGAATATACACGGGACTCAAAAAAAAAAAAAACTAAACTTCAAGAAAACAAACAACCCAATTAAAAAATGGGCTGTGGAACTGAATAGCAAGTTCTCCAAAGCAGAAATACAAATGGTTAGGAAACACTTTTAAAAGCATTCAACATCTGAAGCCACCAGGAAAATGTAAATCAAAACTACTTTTAAAATTCCATCTTGCCCAAATCAGAATGGCCATCAGCCGGAATACAAATTATAACACATGCTGGCATGGCTGTGGGTAAAGAGGGACCCTTATACACTGCAGACAGGGGCACACACCGATATATCTGCAGGGTTCCACTGATGAACTATGGCAACCAACACTCTGGGAGAAGGGAGGCACAGCACGCAGGAGTGCAGCCTCTGGTGATTCCTTCAGGCTTTGTCAGGTGGTTTCAAGCCCACAGTCACACGAATAGCTTTAGTAAGCTCCATAGGACACAAAACAAAAGGCACGAACACGGTGAAGAGAATTGTGGGGAAGATGAGAGCCTGACAGGGCTGATGGGTAGGAGGGATACCGAGGGAGGGGGGTCACTAAAGTACGATATAAACATGTATGAAATTGTCAAAGAACAAATTTACCAATAAAAATAAAGCTTTGCCTATAGCAACATGTAAAATTGTGTTGAACTCTGTGCAAAAAGGGTCAGTCCCAAACTTCAGTGACAGGAACATACAGGAGCCCGCCAAGAACTGTGGGGACATCACAGATGAGTGGCTGTCCTCACTCAATGATTTATAACAGCACGTTCCTTTCCCTGACCCTTGCTTCTTTTTCTCATTTCCACCACAGAAATTCTCAAGAGTGGTGTCAGAATCACCAGTTGCCTTTTCAAAATGGAACCTGTCTCGCCAACTACCTGGCCCATACACCATTCCCCTCACCATTTCATGCTGAAGCAGAGAACGTCTCTTAGATGGCTAGTCCCTGTGGCTTGCAGGCTCCCAGCCAAAGACTACACTTCCCAGCCCTCTTTTTACTAGGTGGGGTCTTGTGGCTGGAAACCACCAATGAGTGACAGAGGTGAAGAAGTCAACTCCAAGCTCAGATCCTTTATTACTCCTAGGAAGGCACCTTCTGCAATCAAACATGATCAACCACCCTCAGTTGTTTCCTTTGTTCCATCTATTTTTCTGCTTTGTGTGTGTGTGTGTGTGTGTGTGTGTGTGTGTGTGTGTGTCTGTCTGTCTGTCTGCATGTGTGTCTGTGTCTGTAGCCATTTCTTCTGGCTAGAAATTCTTCATGGAGATGGGGCCAGAGGTGAGAAGTGTGAGCTACACCTGATGAGAGATGACAGAGGAGAGTCACAGAATGAGAAAGCAGGAGCCAGAAGAGCCAGAATCAAATCAGTTAGTTAAAAATGAATAGAAACAAGAAAGAGTAGTATATAAAATTTCCAGGACGCAGCCTTCTGCAACAGTTGTATTTTGTAAGCTCCATGTCAGCCTGGTAGTGACACTGTTGCCTTGTCCTCCTCATCAACTATGAAGAATGACAAGAGAAGGGAGATAATTGCCTTAGGGTCATAAGACTTCAGAGCTTATCCACTGAGCTCAAGGATAGGTCTGAGACACATGGGTACCAATCCTATTTCAAACGACCTTCAAGTTAAGCGCCCATCATCCTACAGTGCATAAGCCCATACAGATGAAGGCTATCACTCAGAACTCTCTTAGTACTGAAAAGGATCCACCAGATACTCAGATCTGAAAGATGAGGAAAAATATTAGGCTGGGTGCAAATGAAAAGATCTCAAAGAAGATCCAGCTTCAAACTCCATCTTCTCTATGTAAATCCTTGGTGAAGTGAGTCTCTTCCCAAATATATCTCTGCCGATAAGAAAGATTCTCAGTCCCCAACAAGAGACTAAAAACTTATCTTATTTTTGACCTTCATATTGTTGTTATTTTCAGAAAAGGGCTCAGGGGAACTTTGAGCTGTAGAACATTCGAACAAGCTATCAACATCCTGCATGGAAGTCTGGATGCGTACCCACCTTGGCCCACAGAGAGAGACCCAGACAGTGCCTCGACCCTGCTCCTTATCCCCCAACCCCCAAGCTCTGGCAGCCACTCAGCTTCCGGGTACTGATGTCCCAGCCTTGGTGGAAGGCTGTACACTTTTGCATAATTTATTCCACATGTGTGTTTGTTGGACCTGCCAGAGGCATCTGTTGTAAATGTTTCAATGCCTTAAGTTTTGATGAGCTTTCTTTAGAAATAACTGTCCCTGGGGTGTTCATAGAATAGTAAATTAACACCCATCTATCCACACAGCTCCTCCTGGCCCAGCCCTGCTTAGTTTCACTGTTCCCTATAAAACATTCATGGCCTAGAACATCACAGACAGTGCCAGGCAGGACAGGAGGATGGGTCCTACATCCATGTTGAGTAAATATTTGGGTGACAACAAGTTCCATGAGGTAACTCCTCAGAATTAGTTAAACAGGATTTTGTTTTAAAGTCCTCCCCACCCTACACCCACTCTCTCTCCTCTTTTCTCTCTCAGTTACTTACACAATTATTTCTAACAGCTCAATGACTTAGGGATGGTCTGAAGTGAGCTGTTAAGAATACTGACTATTCATGTATCCATTCATAATGTCAGTGCTGAGCATTCTTGTATTTTCCCCAAATGCTGAACTCTAATCTCCAGTGATCTTTCACCTCTTTACCCAAGCCAGGGTGTGCATGGTCTGGAGCTTAGAAACAGACCATGTATTGACTGGACTTTAGTGCCAGTACTCTGTGAGATGCTCTCAGATCCACTCTCTGTGATCCACCCCCTGCCTCTGCTCCCTGATGAAGTGAACTGGTTTCTAAAACCCATACATCCCACAGGGATTTATTGACTGACCTTTGAGTCTATTGAGCCAGTGGGAGATACTGATGGGAAACTGGATGGTGGAGCCTGGGGATATTCAAGGTATCTCTTTCTCTCTCCGGCACTCTATCTCTTTAGGTTGTGCTTCCAGAGGGGCTGCTCTCCCTGCAGGGTTCCAGTTCCCATGGGTTGGTCATGACTCCCAGTTCCAATGGCATCAAGGCCCCTTTGTCCTTCCTGTGCTGAGTCACAGCTACTCCCACTGTTGCTAATCTCTCTTTGCCTCAGTGACCCTTATCTGCCTCAGCATCACTCCTTCTAACACCTTTATAATTAGTTCCTTGTGTTATGGTCTTTCCCACTGCTCTATGCAGAATGAACTTGCTTTGGGACTATACTATAACACAAAGTTTATGGTAGAAAGGATGCATGGGCTGGAAATAGAAGGGCTTGGATGAACTCTCAGGGGGTTGACAAGCAAAACTGAGCTCAGCTTTGTAGTCTTGCCATCCATATCTAGCGTCTTGCTTCGATTTATTCCTCTGCCACCTTATATGAACAGCGAAAGAGATTATACTGGCAATGGGGTTTTCTAGGTTATTCTATCTGCTTAGAAAACAAACCAACCATTTCTATTAACAGTTCCAGACCCCGTCATATTCCTAACACCACAAATATCTATGCTTATCTTCCTGAGTTCCCTTTACTATCTGCTGACCCTCTTGCTGAATGCTGAGCAAATTTGACCCCCTGCTGCTTTGGGTAAATAGTGTCACTCTGCTAGGATCTATGACAGAGCCACTACCCAGGCAGCACACAGTCTCTTACCGGGTTTTCAGAGGACTATAGTCCTCCCTGACTTTCACTGAGGGAGGGCAGCATCAAGCATGACTCTTTAGCTGTGTGTAAAGATCTACAGAGGGAAGATCCAGAGGCTCCAAGTTAAGAGAACTCTGTAGTTTTACCACATGAAGATCAGTTTGAGCAAATGACTGCCCTTACCGAATCTGATTTCTCATGTCAGAATTGGGAACCAATAGGGTTTGAAACTGAAATGGAATATTAGTGTATAGCCTTGAACATATTGAACATTCTATAAGTATTCCTTACATCATCATTATTGCCATTTTTTGATGTCAAGTTGTTTAAACATCACCAAGAGCACCTATAAGACTAGCCAAAGTAATGCAAAAATTACATAGGGGACAGTCCAGTTCTAAGGATGGGCTAATGACCAACATCAGTGTGGCACTGTCAGTGAAGAAAATTACCGATTCTCAGAAGGGCAGAAGTCTAATGCCTATTTTCTCCACAAGACAAAAGGGGCAGAAAAGGCCCCCTCCCATAGAGGGGCTATCCTGAATGACAAAAGATGAAAGTGCACTGGTAAGCCCATGCTCTGACTTGGAGTGTGTTAACCCCTGGGCCTCACCATACTGGTCCTCCTCAACAAGGGTACATAGTTATTACCTTATTATAGCACAGAGTATGTTGTTTCAAATGAGTGTCATCATGATATGATGTTCATTGTTGTTGGGTAAATTTTATATATTTTTAATGGATGGGTATAACCAATAACATACTTAATGATGAAAGATGATTTTTCTTCTAAGATCAAGCACAAGACAATTATGTTCTCACTATTTTTATCTAACACTGTGTAGATCAGTGGAAAAGAGCTGTCTAGATATAAATTCACTCATTAATAGTAGATTAACTTTAGGAGAATGTCAAATAATTCATAGGTAAAATACTCCTTTAATAGACAACAAAGTATCCCCATGTAAGGACTTCATTTGGATTTTCCATATTATGCAAAAATTATCTCAAGTGTTCATAAACTAAGTATAAGGGTATAGTTCCTTAAATATAAGGAACTATAAAATTCTTCATGCCATTGAGCTAGGCAAACTTTCTTTGGAATGCATCATAGACCTGTGTATCATCCTTCGGCAGGGCCATGTTAATCATTGTATTGTTCCAATTTTAGTAAATGTGTTTAGAAGTGAGCACGATGCAATAATTGCATACACAAGAGTACAATTGACAAAGGAAAAATGGGGGACTTGTTATTTAAATGCTATCATCAGTAAAATAAGAATAAATGCTTATAAATATTATCTGATATAAGACTAGTGTCCCAGATATATAAAAACTCTATTTTGTAATGAAAAGTCAATTCACATAATTTTTAATATGTGATTTAACTAGACATTTTTTGAAAGAAGACATAGAAATAACTAATAGCACAGAATCAGATGTTTGGCATCATTATTCACTATAGAAATGCAAATTAAAGCATCAACGAGCTGTCACTTCTATCAGTAGGATGAATGAAGTTAAAACACACATGATAAGTTTCTAATGTAGAAATAGCATAACCACTTATCAGAGGTTGACAGATGACCCAGTAATCCTATTTTTAAACTCACACACTACACACACACACACACACACACACACACACACACACACACACACACACGGAAATATAAACACATAAGTAAATAAGAATCAGACACAAATATTCATAGCATTACTGTTTATAATTGGAAAAATGAAGATCACTCAAACAGTCCTCAATCAATTGATGGATAAATAAAAGAAACCAAATTCCAAACGTGGTACACTACTTGGCAATAATCAGTGAGATGCTGACATAAGCTATGACATGTATCCATTTTCCCAAGTGAGAAGCTAAATACCACATTAGGTGAACCAATTTGCACAAAACTCCAGAACAACAGATCTCAAGACACTGAAAGAACATTAGTGGTTTTCCATAGCTTGGCAACTGGGTATAGGAATAGTTTTTTAAAAGTTGTATACAAATGTTTTGCTTTGCTTTGCTTTGCAGTGCTGGGGAATGAACCCAGGAACTTGTGCATTTTGGGAAAACATTTCGCCACTGAGCCACATCCCCAGCTGGGTATAGAAATTCTTCTTGTCAGAACAATAAAACTTCTTTGAACATATATTGTACAGAACAACTGCATAAATCCATGAAGATACTGAAAACTACTGAACTATATGGGTGAGTTTTAGGCTGTGTATTCTATTTTTGCTATTTTGAAACTAGGTCTCAGAGAGCTCAAGTTGACCTCGAACTCATTAAGTACTGAAAGAATGTGACCTCCAACTCCTAACCCTGCTGCCTCTGCCTCCCAGTGCTGCATATGTCGCCATGCACACACCAAACCTGGATGGTTTTTAAAGTAAGAGACTTAAATCTCAATTTTAAATGTATGTGATGTATTCAAATTTGTAAGAGGAAAAAATAGTTGGTGAGTCTCTGGGGTTGAACAGAACCAGTGAGTTGCTCCCCCATATCAGCTGTGTGGTCCTAGGGAGTGTCTCATGTCAATGTGAACCTCAGTAAAGGATAATGCTTTTATCACCAGTAGGAAGGTAGGTGTGGAGAGAAGATAGAGCATTGGGGTAACAGTGAAGGGGTGTGCAGATGGACCCCTGGGGTGGAAGCAGTGCATCCAAGCTTAGCTAGACTTTGGCACTTAGTTCCAGTCGGCTGCCTAGAACAGGTGCCCTCCATTGCCGTCTCATACTCCTTGATGCCTGAAACGTGTTCTGCAGTGGGAGCCTCATGCTTCTTCCTCCAGGAAAGGGAGCCTCATCAGCTATCAATGCAGAACATGTCCATCATCACTATCACCCATCCATGCTTAGATTTATAGCACAGGAAGAAGCATTTACAGTATTCCCGGAACTGAAAGAACACGAGAAGGATCCTGACAATCAAACACAGGCCATGTTTATCTCCTTGCACTGCTCACTGGGAAACTCATTTCCTGCCACTGCCCATTAGATGTTTTGAGCTTTGCATTCTCAACAGGGTAGTGAAAAGAGATGCTGGGCGGTACAGTATAAACATATGCATCATTCATAATGCATTCAGATGTTTTTTAATTATTCATAGTTCCCGAAAGTTATTTGACCTATCATGCATATATATTCAAGCAATATTTATATTAGAACCACAGCCCCACGTTACAGAATTCCAGCTCATTGGTGTTCCCGTCTATGGAATTAAAATTAAATGAGTCAGGGCTGGAAGGATGGCTCCATGGTTAAGAGCACTTCCTGTTCTTCCAGAGGAACCAGGTTTGTCTCCCAACACCCACATCAGACAGTCCACAACCCCCTGTACCACTGGCTCTGGGAGGACCAGACATCTCTGGCCTCTTCGGGAACTTGCACTCACTTGCACATACCCAGACATTTATGATTGAAAATAATAACAAAGTATCTTAAAAAATTAAATGAGTCACTGGTCAACAAAAGTTCTATGTGATTTATATAAAGTTATCTATTGCATATTGTTCTAGGGTGGAGAAGAAAAGTTTTGTGGAGTTGTTGAGGCTGACAGAACACAGACTATAGGCTTTGTGATGAAGGGCAGTGACCATTAGCCTTTTCTAAGACCGAATTCACTATTTCTCTGACTAACTGATGTTCTTGGACTTAGTCTAGAGGAGAAAAAACAAAAAAATCAAAAAACCACAGACTCCCCACCCCCTTCTATTTAAGTCTTATTTTCTCTTAAAAAAAAAAAATTGCTAGTATTCTGAGCTCAAAAACACCACATTCTTCTGTTTTGGTATTTGCATAAATTTGCATGTTAACATGAATGGTTGCAACTTAAAGAATGTAAAATATAATAAAATTTGAATTCATATCCAGGATGAAGAAAAGACACATTGAAAAACAACAGATTTTCACTCTTGTTGACTTTTTTTTCTTCAGAAATTGGATTTAGGAAAGACATAAACACACAATCTTGATGTAAAAGCAGGGCTGCACTCAGAGACAGGTACTGCCAAGGAGGACGCACATACACACACATTCACGCACCATGACTATTTACAAATGGCAGCAATTCCTTAAACCCAAAGAACATCGCATTCTTCCTTGCGGGCCCACCCAGTAGGATGAAATGTACGGAACACCATGTGAATAACTCGAGCAAAAACAGCTTTTGCCTCTGCATTTATTCTGGGGACAATGTGCCGTGACGGTTAAACACAGAGGCAAAGGTTAGAACTCCTGTTGTAGCTAATTATTGGCTGTGTGACTTCTAGCCACTGATACAATCTTTAGATATAGCTTCCCTTCGTGAGCTCTCCTTTACATTCCATTTTTACCAGCTTTGTAGATTATTCACTAAATGTGAATTCAGTGCACCTAGGACATTAGCTGGTAGGGAACCCGGATCCAGGGAGGGTAAGTAGCTGTGTAGGGCTTGGTATGGTAAGGGGTACTTAGGTAATACATCCACAGGAGACAGTCTGGGGATGGGTTCTGCATTCTCTAATGTGCCCTCCTATTTTGTCCACACAGTTCCACAAGGACCTTCATGGATCTAGTCACCATGATAGCCTGTTCCCCACAGACTCCAGCTATACTGGATGATGGCAGACATTAAGTTCTCATTCCGTCCTGGCCATAGTCACTCCTTTCCACAGCCAGTGTCCCACCACTAAGGTCTCCACATAGCACAACAGTTACCAACAAAGACCAGAAAGAGCTATGAGCATAGCTTCTCACCTCATCATCCTCAGGCGAATTCGCATCCAGCTTCTGAACCACCGACTTGCCGCTCTCCTTCAACAGTTTCTCTCTTACTTTGGTTTCATACTCAGGCCGGGAGTGTTCCTACACCAAAGCGTCAGTAAACAGAGTTAGTAAACAGGAAGGAGCATGACCTGGGCTGTGGGCCTGTGGATCAGAATCACACGCCACAAGTACATCAAACTGGGTTTAGGAATGGACGCTGTCAGACATGATTTGCCACGTGACACAATGACAAGGGGGCGCTATACCAAGAACACAATGTTGCAGGGGGAAGTGAGACACACAACACTTACTGTCACACTGAGAACCAAACCTTGGAACGTTCCTGGGGTTGGCACCGGTGTTGAGAAAGGAGAGAGAAGATGTTAACCTGGCAGCTGACACCACGAGAAGCTATGTGCTTTGCAGAACAATCTGTCAATGGGAGGCGAATTGCGCTGCCCCCACCCGCTACCCCCACTGTCCTCCTGCCTCAATCTCACTTACAAGGAGCCCAGTCCTTCCCGGAAAGATTTGTGCCCCACAGCTAGGAGTTTGGGTAAGCAACAGTACTTCTCTGTTCCATGATTCTGCAGGCCAAAATAGTAGCCAATAAACATCGAAGTCAAGGTGGTCATGGGGGAATCTTAAAACTTATTTCCTGGATCCTTCAACATAGCATGGGTGAGAAATTCCCTGGGGAATACAGCAGCATGTGATCACTCAAGAATCATTTTTAGGCTATTGTGCCAATCCACCCTGGATTATCAGTCCCCAGGCTTGGGAAAGGGCTCCCAATGAGTGAAGAGGAAGGAGCATTGACAAATCATATCACCTCGGACACTGGGCCAGGAAGAGTCACAGCTCACTTCAAAGGGAACTAAGGTTAGCGACAGGCCTCACTCGACAGGCCTCCGAACAGTGGCTAGCTCCAAGATGAACCCCTGAGGTGTGAGGACTTCATGTCCATGTTCATTTTCTAAGCAAAGCTCCTAAGTAGACTTGCAAATGGAAACAGCTTCGAGAAGCACTCTTCCACTTCATGGAATGTGGCGTCAGACCCCTAAGCACAGATTCAGGTGGCAGCAGGTTCCACTGTCCAGACAACACACACCTCTTTGTCACCACCTATAGGTCAGAGACACTAGTGGCCAAGCTGCTAGACACCTGGCACTAATGATTATGGAGCGTAGCATGTCATGATGGGTGATAGCATCTAAGTGCCTTTGCAGGCCCTCTGCCTTCCCATAATCTCCCAAGGCACACCAGACCCGCCCCTTCCAGGAGCCCGTCTAACAGCTGTGCTGTATCCACCAGCCACGCTCTCCAGTTTCCTAGAGTTACACAGCTTACCACACACACTGCAGTGCAGGCGTGGTGTAGCCATGCACACACATTTTGCCCTTTCTCTCTGGCTGTGCCCACCTAAGAGTCTTGTCCATTCT